TTTTTGATGATGATGTGACCCACCCAAAATACTGCGGGCTCCTACCCCTCCGGTCCTTAAATAATTTCAGTCGTTGCCATGGTTTTCTGAAGGTCCTTGGCACTTAAGTACTTCAGCCCTTGACGGAAAGGTTCCAGTGCTATGTGAGACTTGTGCGAGAAATTGTGTGTTGATGAAAGGACGATATGGTTTAGAAGGACAACGAAAAAAATGATTCTCATAAGTGTGCGATATGCACTCAGAATTGAGTTGCAAATGGGGCTTAAAAATCCAACCACCTAAAGTGAAATTGCGAAGCGTATTGTCTCAAATGTAATTTTCTAATAACAAAGAAACTATCATTTGTGATTATAAATATGATGCTTACATGATATTGTGGCTCCATGGCTCCAATGTAGTCGTGGATAATTCTTTCTCCTTACTTATCTCTCTTGACTTGTGTCGCCTTCCCTGATTTCTCTCACCTTTTTTTTTTCACATTGAGACACTAATTTGCTTGTGGTGTGTTACGCTTTTTCACTCGACTCTTGGGTTTTCCAAACCTTTTGTTGTGTATGGAATGCACTGTGTTGCTGTGCGTTGTTATGTATGATTGATATGAAGAAATTATTTTCACAAAATAAAAAGTTAAGATACGATCCCTGAGTTACAATTTTGTTTGTAGTTATTTCCTAGAGCGTTTTCAAGGACTTGAGATAACTGCTTTAGTAGGTACAAACCCCAGCCTATTTGGAAATTTCGCGCAACGACAGACTGTAAATTACGATTATATATAGTCTTAGGTGTGTAAGGCTCTGGTGTCTAGATACTGCTGCTGCGCGGAAATATCTGTTCGCACTTAGCAAATGTACAGACTGCTGAATGGATCCTTTGACCGTTCATCGGCTTCTCGTTATGATCTCAATGGTTCAGTAAACTAAATATGATTCTCACGCCAGGGGTTTATCGGGCCTGTCAGCCAGGAGGGCTGTTAGTAAATGACGCAGACTAATAGAGGCTGTCTGAATATGAAATATCCTGTAGATTTCCTCCCTTCTTAGCAACGACAACAGCGCATTCTGCAAAACGCCATCAATCAATCAATCTTCCAATTAGTCAATCAAAATTCTTCACTCGATCTTAATCGAGTTGCACGACTTTCACTAAAATCTTGAGGACGTGCAGTCTAGTCAAGAAAAGGATGATTCACCATGGGTTCAGTAGAAAATTTCTTGTTACCAGTCAGCCTATGTAGCTCACGGGGCTTTTCAGCATTTGAGAGCAAAGAAAATTAGAGCTGCTGAGCCATGCAAACGAATGATGAAACCACGAGAGGAAAGAGGCGGATGAAACTTATCTCTTATCATGGCTTCAGCCTTTCAGTCAACTGATTGCTCGCAAAACTGTCAGTAACGCAGACGAGGTACAGTCCGTTAATTTGGATAATGAGAGTGTTGATATAAGGGACTGAAATCTCCGTTTAGCGCTTCTTATCAAGGTAACCCAGCGTCAGCTTACCCCGTCCTGTGCTACAAATCATGCTTTAGTACGTAGACATTCCACACAGCATGCGCTTGTTCTCTGGCTAGGAATTGCAGCAAACCTAAGTAACAATGTTTTCGGGAGACAGACACGTTAAATCTTAAAATTACTTAAGGGAGACTACCTTTAATTTGGAAAACACAGCGGTCAAACGTTGGGCATAAGCAAAGGGATCGATTTAGGTCGGCCGAATGCCAATTCCCCACGCAAAATTTCATAGGAAGACATTTGCATATGCGTAGACGTTTGACCGCAGCGTTTCTTTGATCCTCCAATCTGCGGATTCAAAACCTGACTGAGCCCACAATTTAGACAGACTTGCTAAGATATAATGCTGTCAACACAGCGGTTAACTTTTAGGGCATGTGCGAGGGATTAATTTTGGCCGCCGGCGCGCCGATTTCCCGCGCAAATTTTCAAAGGAAGAGAAAACAAAGTAAGCGAAAGAAAGTTGAAACAACAAGTCGGCGAGAATATGTGGTTGATATAATACTTCCCAAAAATTCCCACATGTCTTGAATACACGAAGTTTCCATCTCAAGTTAAGGGGATAAGACTTGCTCCGATGCTGATATATTCAGTTTCCAGATCTTTACGTGTACGTTCACCACCCAGGCTCCATAAAATCAACACATGCCGGGTAAATTATGTATAAAAACTCCTTCTAGTCACAAGAGGCTATCTGAGTATCACTGTCTTTGATTAAAGCTATGACAGATCTTCGGGGTCGCTCTTTTCGTAGGCTTTCGTCTTCCGCCGTTTTCTCGAGTCCTTTGCAGAAAGTTGCCTTCGAGAAAATCCTCATTATCATTAGCGCTGCAGGACACGCGTTACTCCGCCCGCGGGAAGATTTGAGACGAGTTGGGGAGAAGTTTGCCGGGGGTCTGGCACTAACAATTATTATAGTGCTAGTGCTAGGCCACTTGCAGACCTCCTGCCGGCTAGTCAGGCTAGTGTCATTCAAGGCCTCATGCAGTTCCCGAGAGTAAAGAAAACACTCGTGCCGAGGCGCTGATACTGATGAGGGCCTGTTTGTAGGCTACTGGGTAAGGGGAAGGGTTTTTAAGACCAGTTCTTCCACGTACACTGAAAACCGTAGTCCTGATTTAAGTTTTTAGAGTCTAAACCAGATGTCTGACTTTCGCTTTTGTGTTACTCACACTTTTGCTTCATTACGTAATCACCTATTGTTGACGGGAATATCAAAGAATTACTACTGTGCAAAGTTCTTTAGCAACACTCATCAAAAGTAAACCACTTTGGCAAATAGGATCAAATTTATCCAATACGTGACGGCCTCTACTGTTTCCGGAAATGTCACTATTACACTAACCCAGATAACGATTTGAAGCTTGGCCTCGTGAACGTGGTATGAAGGTTAGAAATGGAAGGAAATTGTTCATTCTGATGTTGAGAAATAAGTAATTTTTCAAAGCCTTCTTCTGCAAACCCATTACTTTTTCATGTGTTGCAACTTGGCTACAACGAATATCAATTTATTGTGGTTCTCTCCACAATCTTTGATTTTTTTTTGTCTTTAAAACGGTCATAGATTGCGACGACTTGACATAGCTGTCACCATGTTTGAATATCGGGACCCTTGAGCTTGGTTTACAAGCCGTAGAGAATATTTCTGGATCGGCCCCGTTTGATCCGCTGTTAAAAATGCAGTTCTTTATTTATATATACTCCTTTTGGCAACGTCAGGCACAACAGTTAATAGTCCTTAGCGATTAAATTTGCTCCATCGGTTTACCTCTCAATTAATTTATTTCCGTGTTTTATCGCAACTCGATCAATAATGGTTGAAAGTCGGAAAATCACGATATGAGAGTATCATGACGACTCCGTCACCACCTCAGGTGGCTCTCAGACGAATTCGTAGTCGTCTAGTCGGCAAAGTCAGTCGGGACTCGAGCCTAACGGGAGAACTTTGTCCGCAAGTTCGTGACAAATTTAACAACCACCTTAATTTTCACCCTTTGTTTAACAGTCAGACTTTGGCCGACGACAAGAGCCTGAGAGAGCGATATTCTTTGGCTATCAAAGAGAACAAACTATAAAAGTAATACTCAATGACACTTCTCACATAGAGTGCTCTTTCAAGTCTCCCCAGACGACAAGTGGGCGCCAATGATCACACCCTACGGTTTTGACATGAAACGTTACAAGAGAGAACTTAAAAATTCTTTGTAAAAAAACTTTACTTTTGTTTAACCAATATTTTAAGTTTTAAAATAATTAAGTCTCAACAACTATTTTTCAAAACAGGAAAGCTGAGCTTATTACGTTAAATAACGGTTGTGATGCCGAGGCAATAAATAATAATCTGTGTTCCGAAAACGAACTATGGGTGTGCGCAGAAAGCTTATCTAGAAAGTTCAGTAGAAAACGTCCCTTATAAATAACACGACATTATTTGTAGAAACACTATATCAACATCTTAAAAAGTGAATACCATTTCGATATCTTATAAAGGAAAAAAATTAATAGTGGGCTACAAAAGAGTAGTAATATTGTTGACCATTATGTTGGTATCAAGATTAGTTTGGACTCTAAAGAATTTCACAGCATCATCAACCACTGCATTCTAAAACTTAAGTCGAACCCTACAACTACTTTCTAGCTTATCGTTTAAGAATTGATGTAAAACTTGGCTAAGAATATAAGAGTTATCTAGTCTCTACGAGAAAAATGCTTTTAATTTACGAAATTAATTTACGGACAGAAAATTCATTTTACATCATAAATACTTTTGGGTTGTATAGTGAAATTTTCGAATGAAATTTCATTTCATTTGTGAAATTTCGCCTGTAATGTACTAAGTTACTATTTACAATTAACGATAACGATTGATTTTAAAATATTCGTGTCACTGGAGTGCTTTAATTCAAAATTTCCCAATGAAATTCGTCCGAGTCAGTCTTCCAATTGTAACTGTGGAAGTGGCCGGCGATTTACAACAGGAGGTAAGCTTTCTGGTGAAGCGCTTTTCGTCTTTTTCTTTTTCTTCTTCTTCGGAATTGGAGCATCTACAGTGTCTTGTCCTTTCGCTACATCTCCCGGTTTAATATCTTTCGTGACAACCCCAACAAGTTCACATTCCTCATTATTACTTGTCTGTGAATTCATTCCTTCACGAACTTTCCGTTTTTTCCTCTTCCTGGGACTTGGTACTAGTTCCTCGCCTTCATCATCATCGGCAAAAGTCATCCCACTAGGCCCCGGTCGGGCTGATGCTGTGTCAGTACCGTATTGGTCGACAACAATTTCCGCAGGTTGCTCTAGCTTAGAGGCCATGTTTGCGATTGCCGGCTGATGAATTGCAACCCGTGGGGTAGTGGATGTGATTTCCTTCAAGGATTCCTCTGAACCTGAATGCTCCGTCATTCCCAGTGGCGAATAATCTTTGATTACTAAGGGTTGTTTAGACACTAATTCCTGGTCTTGTGATTGTTTATGGTCAACACTGGATCTGTGATGTTTAGCAGCGGCCTGAAGTGATTAAAACAGTAACAGTAAGAATAAACTGATAAGAGAGGGTAGTTTTAATGTCGGTACCAGAGACTTTCTGTAAATATACCAAATAGAGGTAAGAAATTAAACTCCTGACGCGCGATTTTATCTCATCAGCTGGACAGAGGTAAATAGAACTAGCCACTCACTTCCGAACTAACCAATCAGCGCGCGCGTAAAGCACGATGCCCTTGTGTGTACTAATAATGGTTACGATAATGGTTACAGTGGAGGCAACGACCAGAGTTGAAAACAATATTCAGTACACCTCACAACTGGCTAAGTTGAACCGATAGTGTAAATGGGAACTTATTCAGTTCTGATTGGCTAAAAAGGAATGAACTACTCATTAAACAATGACATAGCAAAAAAGTGAACTGAACGAAGTCTCTGAATTTCTTTTGGAATCCAAAAACCCCTCATGACAGATCGCGAAATCGGTATTCTTTTGTGCTTGGACCAAATAATTTTGTGCTAATCAGACTAATTCTCCCTAAAACAGCACATCTACTCACTTTCTAGCAAACAAATCGGATACACACCTTAGAACTGACTTCACTTATGAACTTGACAGTTGTCTCAACAGGAAGAGAATCCTCTGATACCTCGGACCTGCCATGATCACTTATTTCAATCCTTAAAATATTAAAGAAGACAAAAAAAATATCACTCTGTTGTAGGAGAATTCCAGTACACAGTTACAGTGTCAAAAAGATCTAGGCCTATGATATACATCTGTTGAAACCTCTTTCCTGCAATACTTTAAGTCAACTTTGCTATAGAATCTAAACTGTCAAAGGTCCCTAACATCTGAAAGCATTCTTAGGGAAATTGCAAAATGAAATTGTTGTTTGCATTAAACCTTTAACCCCTAAGAGTGATTAGTATCTAATTTATCCTTACAATATCATCCCAGAATCACACATTTAGGATACAAGAATAAAGGAAATGATCAAAAACTAAAGCTCTTGATTGTTAAACAAATTCTCCTTGTCAGCCCCTTAGGAAATGTACAGAGCATAGTATGGAGAGTTTGCAAACTGATGTTAGGGTGTAAAGGGTTAACTTGATGAGACTCACCTTGGAGGTTCTGAATTCTCCCTCCTGTCTTCTTCAGGTTTCACTTTATTCTGTGAATTAAAAATACAAGAAAATCAACTGAACAATCTCACAACCAGAAAGGAAAGAAGAATACCCAATGATTTCACCTCAACAACAATGACACTTGGGAAGGCTGGACACTTCATTTACTGCTACATGTGAATGTTTTGAGTAAATGAGAAAAAAAACCAATGAAAAAAAAAACCGCTGTACAGATAAAAGGTTGGAAAAAGAGGGAGAGGTCAATTAGGTGTGTTAATTCAAGTCAAGAAGTAGTTCTTCCCACCCTTAGCAGCCGTGTTTTATTTCTTTTTCAAATGATCAACACAGTTTTTTTTTATATTCCCAAAATGCTCCCACATCAATACATAATATGTTGACTTATAACTGACTTGTACAAGAAGATAACTCAACTTGAATCTAACAGAATAATGCTATAAGTACAGGTAAAACTCTCAGCTCTTAATTACCAAGACCTATTAGAAACTGCCAGATACGGCTTGCATAACTGGAAAGTTAGCAAATATGAGACAAAGCAGTGTTAAAATACCTTAAATAATTTTCTATTTGATGGTGACTTTGTGCCTGCTTCAACATCAGTGACACCAGCTTGGCTATCTCTTGAATTAATAATGAACTCGTATGTGGATATTCTATGACACACTGTTGAAGAGCACAAAGCAAATGGTTCAAAACCAATACATAACTTCGTCATTACTAGAGAAGTCTGTGAAATGAAACATACCCCAATAATGCACATAAGGTGACAGGGCAATCACTAGGCATTAGATGAAGGAGAACTTTAAACAAATGTCAATGGACTCCAGATCTGGTTCTCATTTAAGTGTGGAGAATATTTACATCACTTGATGACCATGCCGCAAACTTCCCTTAATAATATCAAATGTCAATTTTAACTTGGCATTCAACAATATAGTTGAGCATGGAAGTTATTATCAACAATATATGGGTTTGATCAAGTTGCAATCAGATGTCATGTTCAAAGCAAATCAACAACACATCTTTATCTTTTTTGCTTCATAGCGTTGTATGCTGTATTAATAGGTTTGTAACAATGCTGATGAATGTCCCGTCAATGCTCTATATAACATCCATCTGTCAATATTCTGAAACAACAAATTTATCTTTTACAATCACTGTTTTAACAGTCTCACTGTAAACTTAAAAAAAAAATCAGGAACTTGAAGAAAAAAGGAAAGACAAACCGAACAGTTCAAACAACAAATGAAAGTCAGTTATTCCCAGCCCAAAATTTAACAGTAACCCATTGCTTGTTGTACTCTTTCCTGGTTTTCTGGCTCACATCTTAATTTCCTGAATTTTCCCCATTGCATAAAACACCTAACCAGTAGTAGGGCTTGATAGAATGCATGTTCCCTTAATGGAATAACCTTGCATGTATTTCGAACCTTGTTAATTGCTATTTTTAACCAGTGATATGTTATGTAATCACAGGTTGTTGTATCAGTTATTAATTGCTTCCTTACTTAAATAAATATGAAATCCTAGCAGGTGTCCAAGAAGAGCTATGGTAAGCAACAGTAGACCCAATATAACACCAAGGAATGCAACAAATACTTCATCAGAAGAGACTTCAACAAATACTTTGAACTGTCCTCCTGAAAGACAAACACAGTGGTTGCTTTAAGCCACTTAAACAATACTTTCATCAGCACCAAGCAGTGAAAAAAAAAAAACCTAAGATTGAATTCCCAGGGGAGGGGTGAGGAAAACTAAAGGTTTAGTAACTTAGTGTTACAGTCAATGGTTTCAACCTGGGGGTAACATATGATTGTGTGGTCTGATCATCTGGGTGAGTGTAGTCCTGAGAAGGACTGTTGGAGGGTAGAAGCAACTGACGTTTTGCAACTGGCCAATCAGGACTGACTTACACCACTTGAGTCTTACAGCCCATAACATAATGGCTAAATGACCAATAAGTTTACAGAAACTGGACATAGTACATTTGACTAACAACAACTGGTCACTTGACTCTAATGATCACCTCTGCTCAGGTTGTCAAAACATCAGTCACTACTACTGCTGATGTAGGGCAATAAAAAGGCATTGGGTCACTACTACTACAGTTGTTCTCTGGACTACACTTAACTGGACAATCAGACCAAACTAGACTCAATAATACTAAATTATCCTATTACACTCTTCCACCAACACAGTACCACATTTTCTTTAAAAACTTACCCTCTAAACTATAACTCATTGTTGTCACCACTACAGTTAAGATTATCATAGGGTAATGTAATATTATCAGCCCAGCTAATAACATAAGTTGGCCACTATAAAGATCAAAAAAGCTGATGTTTCTAGCATTAGCACTTCGTCAACTGCTCTGACAAGGGGCTAATGCTCAAAACATCAGCTTTTTAACTCTTTACAGTGGCCAATTTACATTATCAACTCAGTTGATAATACTAAATTACCCTGTTATACCCTCCCACCAATGCAGCACCACAGTTTCTTTAGAAACTTACCCCCTTTAAGATTATCATAGTTGCACCCTTAATTACAAGATACTCCTTCCTGGTAACAATCACATTGTGGGATTACCATAGGAGTGAACATGAAAGTAACTTGTTCACAGCACACACTTTAATGGTAGTGGGATAATTTTGGTTTACAGATAAAAACAACAAAATTGTTTAAATGTACCTGTTAATGACTTAATGCCTTCTTTGTCCACAAAGTACATTACAAAGACATAAAAAGTAATTGTGAAGACTGTTAATGCCAGAACAAAGGCACTAGAAACACAGCCAATAAACAATCTGTGGATTAAAGAACAATTCAAAGCATTAATATTTACTAACAATGAAAACATCTTGTCACAAACAACATTGAAAAACATCATATCATAACAATTACAAACATAAGGCTTACTATTCTGGATAAAAGGCAAGCTGTTGAATGAACTTACATGCAAGACAAGAGTTGAATTAGCATACCTATAATTCTGTCCTCCTACACAGTTATTCAGCCATTTGCAATGATGGTCAAAATCAGATACACATTTGTTGCACACAGAGCAATGTTTGCTTTTGGGTCCACTGTTGAAATCAGAAACATTTCACTTATTACTTATGTTATTTGTTGCAATTTGCATGACCAACAACACTGTCTTGTACAAATCTTCCAAAGTAATGGTTGCAATGAGATGATTTTTAACAAATCTTTCTAGATTCTTATCATCCAACCACAAAATTCACTTGTCCAGTATTATAAGGCCTGGCCTAACCCCTTTTTACATACCAGTAGTTATTAAAATCATTTATCATTTTCACAATCTCATGTATATTCAACAAAACAATATTTAGCTTAGCAACAAACATGTTCAGATTATGGTATAGACCTCCGTCCAAAACTTTGAAAGATGTTTATTTTATATTTTACACTAAAACAGTGGATAGCGTTGAAGGCATGCGCAGAGTGACTCCTCAAACTCTAAATATCCTTATTGTCATTCACCTCCAAGCAACTTGCAGAATAAATGAGTCAAATTATCTTTTTGTGCCATAGTATCTCACTGTTTTAGTATATAGCAAAACAACTTTTCATCTCTGTGTCAATGGTTAGCAGTCAATCTTTACATCGCCATATCCACCTCTAGTCACCTTCACTTCTCTTAATGTCCACTAGCTTTAAGCACAAACTTGACCCTTTCTGCCATTCAGTAGAACTGTCCATAAGTTTTCTACAAATCCCTCCAAAACTTAGCAACTTCCCAGCAGAGTCTGAGAAGTTCCTGAATAGATGTTTCTACAAATGTCAAAAGTCTGCAAAAATCTAACTGGCTCTTTTCATAATTCTATAGTTTTCTCATTATCTTAAGGAAACAAATTTATAAAAAATATAATATCGATAGAAAAGCTTACACATCAGCTTGGCAGATATAACAGTGGCAGTTTTCAATAACATGTTCATGCTGGCTCCTATCAAAGATTGCTTTGCCCTTTTGTGTATCACCTCTGATGTTAGGATCAGCTGGATCTAAGGTCAGTGCCATCAAATGAAAAATGATGTGAACAACACAAAAACCACCTGGAATCTGAACACATTGGTTAAGGAAAAATGCCTTAATAATAGAGTTAACCAATCACAGTGGAGCATCACAGTTTGGTAACATGTAGGCCAAACATAGTTCATGTCATAAAATGTGTGTGACTGCATTGTCAGACAAGTACAAACATATGTATCATAAATATTGTGGCTTCTTAAAAAAACAACAAAACTAAATATGTTCTCAGCATTATAATATACATGAAAAAATTCCATGCTTCTGATTAGCTGAAAACAAGTGCATTCTCATGTAACACGAGTGTAAAGTTCTAACACAAATGCAAATTACAAATAGTATGCGCATGCCTTTTGAAGTTTGTCTGTCTTGCCTTCCTGTGATGATTGTCATGTAAATTATTAATGAGTGGTGACATGATTTGTCTCGCAATTTGGAGTAATAAGCACTTTTAAATTTTTTCATAGATTACAAATTGCACTTGCCATATGGGCTTGTGCAATTTTGTTGTCTTCAAACAATTTACTTGTGCTTGTTAACACCAAATTGCACTGCAAATCATGTTATTACCTTTTCAAAAACTTTTCTGTAGCAGACATATATGAAGACTACTCTATCGAGCTCTGTTCTAAATTTTTCACAACCCAAACTTAAATATTTCTCTGTACTCACTGCCATATGTCTTTAATAAATTTACTTCTGAGAATTTGGTGTTACAAAAAACTTTACCCCCAATATGATGTTTCCTTTCTTACCATGACCTTCCTACTTGTAAATGTATCAATGAAAAAAGAATCCTGGAAATGAAAGGGTTAAAACTCCTCTGAATCAGAACTCTAAAAGACAAGTACTCTGATTTTCAACTTAGGTAACTTTAACGAAAAACTACTTCCTTCAGCTTTACTCGTAAGTGATATATTCAAGACAATTATTACCATAGCGGAAGCGAAGGAATAATTAAGACATTATGACACTTAATATATATTGTTCTTGCATGCAGAAAACATTATTATGAAGTCATTATTACTATCTCCTACTTCTTCAACATTATTAGAGCTTTAGGGGCTGTCAGAAGTAAAAATGTGTCCATGCAATAACCAACTTAAAATTCGCTGCAGTGCAAAAAAAAAAACTATTTTCACAATCACAAGTTAATGAAGTCGTAAAATAAATTTCTACAAAAATTCTAGTTTGTTCCCATTTGCGTTAAACGCGAGGAAATTACAAACTTCAAAGTAAATTTTGCCAACATGGTTTACCACTTAGTAAAGGAATTATCATTGTAGCTGAAACTGAAGAACAACGGAGAAAATTTAATTATGACTATCCACAAAATCATAAGTTTGGAAATTCATTTCCTCCTCGGCAATAACTGTTTCTGTAAGCTTGATATCAGCCCGACTACTATTTAAAATTTAGGGTTAGATATGTTCAGGGAAAGTAGAAAAAAGATAAAAGTTAAACGTGTACACGAACTCTCATCACTCTTTGCTATAAAAACTCAAGTCATTAACAGACAGTCATTAGACATAAAATTACGTGATAAACACTTCATTCTCGCGCTTGAGTCGTATAATTTGTAGATTTCACCTTTTAGCGTTGTGCATACATAGATCTATATGAGTAAAAAAGACCACATCTCCCTGATTTTACGCATAACATTGAAGGAAAGCTCTAGAAGTCAACATCACCAAAGGATACAATGAATCCAGCTGCCTTCCATTCTTCAGGGAGGTAAAACACGAAGACACCAAAATAACAAACTGAGAAAAAGAAAATGAAAAACCACGCGACGAATTGAAGAGGATGCCATGGGCAAGACCAGCCATTTATTCTTTCCTTCTGGTTCATCGTCACAGTCGACGAAGCCCTCGACGAAGTTGCCGTACCGTCCGCTCCGTGAACAGGAATCATCCTAAGAAATCTGTACAAAGGAATAGGAAATGTGTGTTCAAACGATCGTTCCTCTGTGAACACAAACTTCACTGCAAAAACAGGAGGCTTGTAAGATTATAATACGTGCAACAAGGTTTTGAGTTTTCCACTTTGACTCACAAAAAATTAAAAGATTAATGCTCGCAATCGTCCACAAAAATTAACTTTTCCTCGCCGAATGAATCAGACTCCATATCGCCATTGTCAACAATAGCTGTTTGCTGAGAAAGAAGGGGACGAGGGAGAATAAGCCCAATTGTCGCCATGGAGATTAATAAATAGGAGATTATGACGTATAAGGTGCGACACAGGCCAACTGGCTCGAGTTTCTTCGGGATTTCCCGCAATGCACCCGAGAAGAAATAAATTTCAACAGTGAACCTTTGAGGAGTCGCAAAACACAGCAGCTGCGAGTCTAAAAGATTCAAAAGAACATCTGAAGAAAGAAACAAACTTATTGATGGCGGCGGAATAAATTGGGACCTGTATTTCCTGTTCTCAAAAAGGAAAAACAGATAATTTCCACGCTGATCTACAAACGTCAACTTTATTTCTCATGTAATAAACAATCTCACCACACTACAAGTGACGAAAAGAATATCGTACACATTTGTAATTCGGCAGCTGTACAAACACAAACGACTCACTTCATTTACCTATTTCAACTTTTTTTCTTAAAATGATCCTCAGAGTAAATTATACTTATTTAGAGCCACTCCTCTTCTTTTTCCTTTACGAGCAACTCTCGAGGCAAAGGAATATTCAAATATTTTCACACTAAAAAAAACTTGACTGCGCATGAAGATTCAACTGAGAAATTAAGCGCAGTTCCTGTAATTCTTGCTTCAAGAGTATTTGTCTTCTTCTGGTCATGATCATGTGGAAACGAGTGGCTCCTGGGCCAAGAATTCTACCAGAGTCACCCATTTTCCTGACTAAGTGAACAGAAGAAATGAGAATTCCAGAGGGCACTAAGAACGAAGGCAAAGAAGGCGTAAAACAAGCGGCACGGACAAAGGGGCATTGGAGACGAGGAAATCGCGTTCCCTCTCTCATAGACCACCAGCTAGAGAGGCTAGGCAACAAAGCTTTGAATTTGTTGTGGTAGTCCTGACATAGCGTCGAATTTTTCGCGCTTAAAAAAGCGCTGAATTGCATTAGAGCAAGTTCTTATGTGTATGGAGAATGCGTTGTACAGATGCATCATTATCGCTATATGAATCCATCACCACCACGAATACATCGTTATCATTATCAGGAACAATCAAGGCCGTTCTCCAAAATCGTACCTAAGAGGCAAACCACTTAACATTTAACAACAGGTGAAGTCTATGATAACCATTTCATTATTTAATTTAATTTAAATTTTGCCAGTTACTGTGTATCCAGTGTACTGACAATCGATCCGTCAGTGAACGCAATCGAAAAAAAGGGCAGACAAAATGGTAGGTGTGTCATCTTAAGCTCACTGGCTTTTTGTTCGTCTCTTCTGACCTTCGCCGCCGTAATTTGAGCTTTCCATGTAACACGCCTCCTCAAGCTGAGAACATGTAATACTAATGAGAAAAAAATTATAATACTATGATATTTTGATGAATGGGCCGTGAATATGAATGAAATAAAGATATGCCTATTCTCGCACATCGACCGTGTAGTTTCTCCTTCATGCTGGAGAAAAGTCTTTTGATCAGCAAGAATGTACGGTAATTGTAATAAAAGTCCTATTCAGATTTGTGATTGCATGAGTTCATAACGAATGCAATGAAAGTATCCTATAGAACCTTCAGTCGTTTTGAAGGATGTTTGAGTTCCTCGCCATCAAATTTAATTCGTGAGAGTGCCGTAAAGGAACAACGCCTTAGATACAGTTCTTTATAGGCGACTCGGTGTCTCCTCCAACCGAGCAAATGATATAAAAAATACATCTATAAAAATACTCAAACAACGCCAACGTAACCTAGTTTACGACTTCAACTATAATAACATTTAGCAGAGCAAACAGCGAACAGAAGTTTGTGGCTTACGACATCACAAAGTAGTGTTAAGGTAAACCTGTAAGACTTGCAACTGTTTTAATACATATCTTACATAACTGTAACCCTCATTTCAGAGATTTAAATAGAATTTTTGCTCCTGTTAACCCTGGGATGCTGCTTTAGCGAATGCACTAAGAATGCGCCGTGTGAATGCCTTCAATTAAGAAGTTCATTCATTTAGAGTTACAAAGTAAATCCAGATTCTGGGAAATTTTACATGAGTCGACTTGTCAGTATTGTAACATTTTGGAATTAAGTGACCTGACGAGGTAGTAACTCTACGATATCTCTTGGTGTTCACTTAGTTTGGTAGGTTCACTTTTCAAGACCTACATACCATAAAGCCTATTTTTCAGGCATGATTTTAATGCTTTTTAAACGTGAAAATCCAGTGTGTCACTTTGATGAGAGATACAAAGCGAAAAACGTATATTAATCGTAACCTTTAAAAGTAGGCTTTTACTTGATCACTTTTGTGTGTGTAGTCACCACTACCAGCAGAAATTCGTCAATTTTTTGCCGAGAATTTAAAAATCTAGCTTTAGATGACTCGGGAAAAAGAAGAGGATTTTCTCAGTGATCACCGTTGAACTAAGGTCTGACACCGTTGACTTGTGCTTTTGAGAACTGAATGCGAGAAACTAAGCCGGCGCATGCCGGTTATTTTAGAATAAAGATTCGGACTGTTAAGATTTTGCGGATGCAATTTTTCTATGCGATTTTTATATTCTTTGCTAAAAGGAAAAAAATGCTCATAGTGGATTGAAAATTGAAAAATTGGTCTACATTTTGAGATAGCCTTTCCGAATTCACCGGGAGGTGACAAGATAGAGAAATTAAAATGAAAACATCTTTTTGTGTTATTTACTATTTATTGAAAGTTCATTTTCGTGTCTACGTTTGAATTATTCAAGCTACATTTCGCTTAAGGATTGAAATTATTAACACCAAAGAGAAATGTTTTAAATAAGCTCTTGGTGAGTTTTTCAATCAGCCCAAATTCATATATAATACCTCGTTTGCTCAAAGCTTCAATTTCTTTGGGGAATTAACTCTCAGTTAACTCGGTATAAATCTTCTAGTAAAGAAAGAAATCAACCGAACAAGTTATTATTTCTTTTCTCCATACGCAATTAATTATTGAAAAGGGTTATTTAGAAGCCACCAAAAAGCTTTTACAGTGAAAAGGGTTCGCTCTAGGGAAAATGAAAAGATTCGAATTAAATAAGAAACAAGTAACTCCTGGTTGGATGGTCGTACGCAGATAACAATTTTAAGTGAACAACAAACAAAACAGACAACATATTAGATTTTTACTTATCGGCAGGTGAAACTAATAAGAATTTCTTTTTTCATCGAGTCCGCTAACCAAATCCGAGGGCGTCAATTATTGTAAACACAACCTTTCGAAGTTTTTGCTAAGCTCTAGTCCCTTGGTTTTCTATTTTACTTTATCAGTTAAATATTTTTCGTGAAAGTTCCTTCTATTTTTTCTTTTTTGATTCTTTTTTTGGCCTTCGACCAGACGTAATATCGTAGGCTTCGCTAATGATTATGATAAAAATAACCTGTTTTTTTTAATCGACAAGGTGTCAAACGTAGAAAATTGCTCGAGAGGCAGTTACATAGCCCGGTGACAGGTTGACAAGGGGAAATCAACTTAATAAAACCTGAATTAGCAGTGAAATTAAATGGGCATGAAACTTACAGGATCCTTAGATCGAAGCGAAAAAGGACAGATCACTCTTTCGACAAGCAAACCCTAAGGGTAAGTTATTTAGTTTACGAATAATCCCCTGAAAGTATAAAGGGTATAAAAATTATTTACGTCTGACCCTATTCCTTTGTAAGAACCGCAACGAAGTACTGAGTTTATTTCACCATATTTAAACGATTTGAATTTTTATTCAATAGTATGCTTTTAGCGTTGACTGTATCTCGAATCAGTTAACTGCGGCAGTGTTGTTCAACATAGCTCAAACACAGGAATTTCTTATTTTTTAGTGTCTTTTACCTTGCCCGCGAGACTTTTTTTTTTTTACACTCGTCTGTGTCATTTGAAATTAGCTTTAAGGTCGAATTGAGCTGGCATCAGCTTTGAGGTCAAATGCAGACTAGAGAGAGCTTTTTAATTTCAAAATTAAATCTCTTAGTTTTGTTTAAGTCCCCGAATGTAAGCTATGGACAATTGATATTTTCGCGAAAAGGAAAAGGTATTTTTCGTTATGCATATCGCTATCTCAACTAGTTTCCCTTGTGTATCATCCTAATGTTCTCTTTGTCACCTCTTTTGTAAAGGTAAGGCGCTTTCTTTTTAAAGGAACCGTGGAAACCTTCTTCGAGTTTCACCAGCTATCGAATGTTCAGGTGAATTTATCCAAGGTTACTAGAGCTGAATGAAAAGAGCTAAAATAAAGCTATTGCGGAATACCTGAACCCGGTGGCTGTTTGTTCAAAACCATTTAACCACTTTCACAGGAAACAAATAACGTTACGTATTAGTTACAGTTCGTTGTCAATCTGTCAGCAGCTGAATAAATTTTGAATCATCGTATACGCCAAATTGAAATTGATCAAAAATCCGAGCTATCTTGACTAGAAGAAACTGTAAATGAAAAATTATATAGTGTGATCTAAGGTGAACGCCCTGATTGCCCTGTATTAGAAATGTGTTCTGTAGGTGAGCTTTTGTGCAGGAGAGGTGTGAATTCAAATTGCCTCTTCATTACTCGGCGGCAAATGATGAAAATTCCAATAGTTTTTATCCGGCGAATGAAGTTCCGATGAAGTTATCCAATGTTTAAAAGCGTTTTTGCCTTAAGATAACAACATGTATCAGTAAATTCACTCTCAGATCAACTAGACTTTCTTTCATTTCATTTTCCATTTGTTTCAAAGCATTAGTAAATCCCGCGGCAGCCATCTTGAAATTAATCTATCAGACACCGACGCCCTACGCGGGATTCGAGGCGCAGTCAAACCTAAACCAATCAGAACACACTTCTCTTCATAGAATCACCCGCGAGTTATTATTATACAAGGTCTCTCATCCATTAATCTATTCATAATCAATTATGCTAATTTTCGTTAGATACTGGAACTGTAGGAATAAAAAATTTACTTCAAGATTTAACTGATGATGCGCGTGATAAACAATGTTACCAGCACAACCACAGAAGTAGTCAATTGCTTAAGGGAAAAGAAATGTTTGGTAGTAATATTGCCGACGGATTGTTGCGTAATGCAAAAAGTAATACCATTTGAATCTTTTCAATTTTGATCTTTTTTTTAAAAACAAATTGGTGGTCTTTTGAAAGATAGCGATATGTCACCGGCTTTTTTCAACCTGAATATATAGATTAAAATCATTGCCGATGGAAATGACAAGGACTGGTCGGCGATTCGTCTAAAAGATGTCCTTTGTACAAATTGTATTTTCAATCATTTAGTCCATTTGACAGCAACGTACTCAATTCAAAGCCAACAAAACTTGTTAGCTTTATGAAAAATGTTATTTTGACTCTCAAAATCAGACGTTTGGAATCGATCTGCGTGGGTATGTTTGTATGGGTTGCAAAAGAAAAAAAGAAAAAAAACCGACATCATTTGACTTGCCTTACTTTTCGAAATGTCATTGTACTCGGATAATGAGTTTCAAAGTTAATGATGTTTACGATAAAAGCCGGAATATAAGATGTAACAATTTCAAGTCATACTTTCAGCGCTTTGACAAAGTAAAAGCGGCAATTAAAATTAGTCGGATGGGTTCATTGATACACATTGAGCGCACAGGAAATGTTATTGTCGGAAAATCCAGCAGAAGAAAAACAAAACTACTATGTTTATTATGTCTTTGGATTTTTCCAATGATATAACCCAAAACTTCGTAATTCTGTACTTAGTTTAAACCGTTTCTTACTGAAGCATCTTACGCAAAAGGTAGTCATTGAAACAAGAGGCGTTAGAGGGAAAAAAAGGTCACCAGCTTGAAAAAGGCCAAAATCATACGGTTAGTAAAGTTTATGTAAGTCGTCCTTCTTTTACCAGTGTGACATCTGACCAGACATTATATTCTTTTTTACGTCCAGAATCCTTTGTTCTTACTAGTTTACCATTGTACAGAATTTTCTGATGGCTTAAAAAATAGGATTTTGACCCAAAAATCAATGAAAAAAGAATTACGAACTCAAAAGGAACGAGAAGGACTCAACTCAAACAAGGAATTCATCTTCAAGTAACCAAAGATGTAACAGAAATATATACCGAATGAGTCACATCTGCGTAAAGATGTGAGAAAAATGAAAACCTGAGAAAGTTAAGTTGAAATCACTTAGGAATGCTCACTGAAATACAGAGGTAAAGAATGAGGGTACGACGCAACAAAAACCTAAATAAAAGCCAAAAAAATTGAAAAAAAAAACGTTGCAAATGTTAGAGGATTAAACCAACCAACTCAGATTTTAATTTGAGTCGTTTTTAGTCAAAATTTTTAGCCTGAAATCGACTATCTAGACTCAGTGCTATTGATGCGTCATTAATGTACTAATGCACTCATCGTTATGAACATTTGACATTTGATCTGTTAAGAACTCAAAGTTCTCAGAGTGAAATTTAGCAAGAAGTTTAGCAAGAAGTTTAATAAAATTATCCTACTATAACTGAAAATTAAATATTTGAATTTAGAACTTAGGGCTTCGCATTTACTTTCAAGACTATTTGATTCCGTGTTATAACTTTTTTCAATTTAAACTTTGGGAAACAGCCTTCTAGAACATGATGATGGATTGCAACATTTAAAAAACGACTTAAGAATGGCTAAAGTAAGGTTATCACGGAAATTTAGGACATTTCTTAAAATGTCCCTAATTTCTGCAATTAACCCTAAAAATCCTCGCGCTCAAGGGCATGTTCACCGCTGAGAGTACTAGCCAGTTATTGTTAGTGGAAAGTTGGCAGAAAACGTTATTAACTCCAATTTTAAGGATTGCACGTAGCGTTCATATCCTCTAACGAAATCTTGATAAGCTCTGATCTGAGGCATACGGTCGGTGGCTTTAAAATTATTTTATGACTCCTTTGAACGGCAGGTGAATTACACGCCACTCTTTCACAGTTACCTTCGCAAGTACACAGTAATTAAAAAAATTGCACTGAATAGAGAAGCCTGAATTAATTGTGACTAGATTAAATTGATTGATTATAAGAAAGATTTCTCTAGGGAACGAAAAAGCTGTCGGAGATTTGTCTTATTTTCGACCTTTGACTTCGTTGCTCTGTTAGTAACAGCACCTTTCTAGAATCTTTACGGCAAAGGTTTGATTCCTGTTAACAGTTCAATTTTTTCAGACTTCTTTTCTGCTATTTCTTTAACTGCCGCTTACCGAAGATCGCCTCTTTTCTTGGTTTACACGTCTTTCATTTGTTTACCTGGACGAGGAGTCAGATCACATGAGGCGTTTTGCCTCGTCCACTGAAAGCTCTTCGTGGGTCACGTGATTAGCCTACCTTCCCCTACCTTTACGACAGATGAATCGATCACTTTTTGTTAGTACAAGTCGACGTAAGTTTACCCAATTCCTTTAAACAGTTCCCGAAATAATAGTATATCTGTGCAAATCATCTGAAATGATTCGTATATTTCAATTACCCTATAGCTACCCGTGGAAAAACTGTTTTGATAATTTTGCTACAAGATGTTGGCTCGTTCCAGTCTTCTCATGGCCTGTGTCATCCTCGTCCTGTTACTGGGCTTGGAGGCCGAGCATTTGCGTGAGTTTCCTGACATAGATGAGGACAGCGACGTAAACAAAGGCCAGGGAGACTTCTTTCCCGAAAAGCGTAACAAAGAATCTTTGGAGAAAAGACTCCACCGACGATTTCAGTACGAAAGGCGATTTAGATCACGAAAGGGATGCAAAGACAGGTTTATACCACTTTGCGGATGAAATCGAGACTGATTCAATATAACATTTGACGGATATTTGTAGGAATCAAAAAACTGACCTGTCCATAACCTCAAAAGTGATGTAATTAAAACAATAGAGAAAAAATTGCCCAAAGCAATGGTAACTTGTAAGATATTGGGAGATTAATCAGACCGGGGAGAGAAAAGAAGCCTTTACCAGGTTTTCTTCTAAAGAACGAAAATTTCGTTCCAATTGGCGCATGATAATACTTTAATAAAACATTAGTCAGGTATGTATGGATTAGCAATCTTTTGTTATTTATTCGTTTCTTTTTTATTGTTTACAAATGTTCTAACCAAGGCAACAACGAGCTTTGTCTACTAAATGCTTTAAGGAATTTTTTACAAGACTTTCAGATCGGAAAGAAACATCTTTCAAATTTTTAACTTTGTGGATGTCGAAGACTTCTCTCACCTCCAAGCTGCTGAAGAAGCTTTGATCAACAGCGTCCTAGGTTGACGGAAAAATGCAGTTTTTTCGCCTATCTTGGGCCATTTGAATATTCAAGTATATTTGAAATGGAAGCAAGCTTTCCTTTTTAATTTTATATCGTGTTCATCTGAACAAAAGTTTAAAGAGGAGTCTTTCGAGTCAAACTGTTATCTTCTTACTGATCACCATATGATATATTTAGCTTCGTTTGAATGTTTCGAGCTAAGAATAAATTTGCTTAAACAGTCACGTCAACGACGAGAAGAGCTGAGACTAATGGAGCTCAAAGCTTTTGATTTGACACTTTAAGAGGTTTTTCTAACAAACTTGATGGAAGTGCTTTCTATCTAAATGTATTAAGTAGCAGTGATTCTCTGCGGGCATACAAGACTGTCATGCGCTGATATGAGTTAAAAATTGTCTGAGAATTTGAAGATGTGAAGGTCCCACAGTGCCACGGGTAAATTTTCTTGTGGCCGTTTATCCGAATGAGTGTGAAAAAGGCCTTAGAGAGCTTTGGTCAACAAAGTCATTAGGGTGAATCAAACGCTGGAGATTTTCGATGTACTTGAGAGTAAATTCAGATACTGTTCTTCATTCCATGGACATCAGTGCTTTAAGCGAAGTCAGACCGTATTCAACCCGACCGTCAATAAGAAAATTTGCGGAAAGTTTAACAAAATTGTTCGATAGCGTTTTTTCCCGAGAAATCACCTTAACTCAGACTGAATCCAACCTTTCTCGTCTGT